AATACTCTTTACTTCCATTAAGTAAAGTTATTAAACAGGATGATAACATATACATTTTCATTGTTATGCTGATGATGCACAGTTGTACTTGTCTATGAATGCCAGTAAATCCAATCAATTACTTAGACTACAAGCATGTCTTAAAGGCATAAAACCTTGCATGACCCTTAATTTTCTGCTCAGACAAGACACAACTCAAAAAAGACAGAGGTTTTGGTTTTTGGACCTGAGCATCTTATGAATTAATTCTGCAGTCATTCGCCCTCTCTGGATGGCATAAATCTGGCCTCCAGTTCTAATGTTAAAAATCTTGGTGTTATTTTTAATCAGGACATGTCTTTTGACTCCCACATTAAAATGGTTACCAGAACCACCTTCTTCCACCTTCATAATATCGCAAAAAAATAAATATCTTGTTTAAAAATTATGCAGAAAAACTGGTTCATGCATTTATCAGGTCTAGGCTGGACTATTGCAATGGTTTATTATCTGGGTATCCAGAAACCTCTTTAAAAAGTTTTCAGTTGATCCAAAATGCTGCTGCCAGAATTTTGATGAGAGTTGATAAGAGAGATCATATTTCTCCAGTTTTAGTTTCTCTCCATTGGCTCCCTGTCAAATTCAGAATAGCATTCAAAATCTTACTTCTAACTTACAAAGCTCTCAACAACCTAGCTCCATCTTATATTATATACCTTACTATTCCATATTTTCCTAACAGAACACCTCACTCTCAGACCTCAGGTTTACTTGTGCTTCCTAGAGTTTCCAAAAGCAGAATGGGAGGAAAAGCTTTCAGTTATCAGGCTCCTCTGTTGCGGAACCAACTTCCAGTTTCTCTCCGTAAGGCTGACACATTGTCCATTTTTAAGACTGGGTGTAAGACTCTCCTTTTTGATAAATCCTATAGTTAGTCGGCATGGTTTCCTGACCTATTTCTTATCCTATGCTGCTATAAACATAGATTATTGAAGAACAAAATGACTTCATTCCATCACATAGCCACAAATATATACAAATTGATATTTGTAATTATTCTTTCTTAACATGTGAATTCTGTCTTTTTGTCTTTGCTCTTAAAGAAAACCTGATGGCCTCCATCCTGGACCTGCCAATGTGTGTTTGTTTTCTCCTTTCTGTCTTCTCAAACCAGCTGGTCAAAGCAGATGGCCGCTTGTCCTGAGCCTGGTTCTGCTGGAGGTTACTTCCTCATGAGGGAGTTTATCCTTTCCACTGTTGCCTCTGTGCTTGCTTAGGATGGGAGACTGCAATGAAGTGAAAACTCAGAGCAATCTGTTGGCTCCTTAGATAAATAACATTGTTAACTGATTTTATATGTATGCAAATGTTTCTATGCAGTGCCCTGAGACAACTTAATTTGTGATTTGTTGCTATATAAACACACTGAATTAAACTGAATTGAGTTTTCTTTAATTATATATTCAAATTGGTGATATACTGTGCAGTCCAACTGTACAGACAATTACTTTTGATAAATTGGTATAAATTGACAAGTCTTAAGGCACATACAGAAGTTTTGCTTAAAGTACTCATAATGTTTATCTTTAAAACTTGATAATTACTTGCATTTTGAAAGTGGTGTTACTACATCAACATACTCATAGTTGTACCATTTTGGATTTCTTCATCATCATTCCTTTCATCAGAAAAAGTATCAAAAACAAAATTGTGAAGCTATTAAAGTTTTTTTTAAAAAGACAGCTGCTCTGCTATCAAACCAAATGTCATTGATCATTTGAACATGGAACTGAGTGAAAGAATTTAAGAATTCTGCTCAGATTTACTGTCTCTGAAGCTTTCATCTGATCCCATGATCAAGACTGTTTCTAAAAGAAACTCAAACAATTTGGAGTTCACAACTTTTTTTAATTCTTAGCTCATTAATTAAATCCTGAACTAATCATTCATTTTAGCCAAAATATATTAGTAACCAGTGCAAATAACCTACTGAAAAACAAAAAAAGAAAAAATTCAAAATTCTTGTAACAAGCTGCTTTTTCAAGTCGTGCATCAGTTTTGATTTGCAGATCCAGTAAATGAAGAGTGTGTTAGTGAAATGGAAAACAATGACTTCTAAATTCTGTCACTACTTTTAAGTATAAATTGTGACACCTCTTATTTGAATCTAGTTATATTTATAAGGATATTTTTCCTCCAAGAATTGATTCATAACATGATTGATATAATTGATTGATTAGTTATTAGTGTATAATTAAGCAAGCTCAAAATGTGCAGTATTTTTATTTTGACATTTGTAGTTGTTTCATATCTAGAAGTTTTTGATATTGTTAGGTATATATAATGAATTTGTTTTCCCATTCATTTCCTACTTATTATCTATATTCATTCAGATACAACTTAAATATACATTTTGTTAAAAAGAGCATTTCTGAATGATTTTAGTGTTGGAATAACCTAAAGCAGCTAACTATATTTAAACAAGTACAGTAGTCCCTCATTTATCGCGGGGGATCCGTACACTGAACCCCCACCATAAGTGAAAAACTGTGAAGTAGGGATACTAGTACAAGTAGTAAGTAGTAGTTTATTTTAGTATATAT